CTGCTGAAAGTTGCAGCTACAGCAGCGACAATAATAAGTCGCCGCCATAACTATCACTTTTGGCGGCCACACACTTGTCGCCGCAAAAAGGCCCGACTTTCAGGGGCGACAATTCTTGTCACCACTGAAAGTCATATTTTCAGCGGTGACTTCCTTTGTCGCCGCTGAAAGTGGTCGCTGAAAGTCCAGTTTTTTGTAGTGATGTTTATCCTCTTTTTTCTCCATAAATTAATCTTATTAATATTCTCCCAACAATAATCAAGTAGGAGGGGAAGGAAATTAAGGAAAATACTTAGACCATTTTAGGAAAAAAAATCATATTAACTAATTTAACTAACATTCTTAATCTACTCAAATTCATTAATTAAGTACCATATTAATTACCAAAGGAGTACAAAAGGTTCTGTTTCCAAAGGTCTTTCTACTTATATACTTCTTCTGACATTCTTATTATAACTACTTAGTACTAACAACTTCACATAGATTTAATAAAATTAGTTCAAATTAGTTACTCCCTCCATTCCTTTTAATATAAGAAACAATCTCTCTCATAGTGATATTCTTAGATATAAAAAACAAATTCTTTTTGTCTGGAATTTTAAATTGGTCTTTCCATTTTTACCCCATTAATTAAACATATGCTACTTACTATCTCCTTACAATAAATTTTCACTCATTATTTCTCACATTCTCTCTTTCTAATTAAACAAGAATCTAATTGAAAAATATGTATATATATCTTATATATTTATTGCCTTTAACTAAATTTAAAAAATATTTTTTAACCATATAATTTTGAGTGGATGTTTCTTATAATAAGGGACAGAGTATTTTTTTTGTCACCCATCAATAAAAGTCATTAATTATTGGGATTTGGTTGATTAGTTAGAAAGTTTTATAGTTACTTAGGGATACTAGGTGAAAAAAATTAATGCTCTCTGGTTCTTAATATAAGAATCACTTAACTAGTTTGGTTATCCTGAAATTAGGACTACTCCTCCAATCCTTAATATGTAGAATCACATATGAACTTAATCATAAAAGTAAGACCAATTTTTATATTTATTTATTTTTTCCAAATGATCCTTAGTGAAATCTCTCGACAATAATCAAATGGGAGAAAGATAGATGGAATGTATCAAGGAAGATGATTAAGATATTTTATGAGAAACATGCCATATTTATTATAATTAACTAATCTAACTTTTTTAATTTAATCAAATTAGTTAAATAAATTTTATATCAATAACCTGATGGGCGTGTGTGTGTGTGTATGAATGATGCGTGCGTGCGTGTGTGTGTACATGAATGATGTCATGATTATGAGATGTCAATGGATGATTTAGGGAAGCAGCGACGAGCTCAAAGGAAGATGATAAGATAAGGTGTTGCTGGGGAAGTTGTATTCAAGATGCAACACCATGTGCTTTAGATCCCTTCAATGATTATCAGCAGTTTGAGATTATAAAGAAGCCTCGTGATAGGTTTGAAGCCAAGTGTGTTGCTGCACATGGATTTCCTCCTATCTTCCTGGGGGGTGAATGGAGGCTATTCAATAATATTCCTCATCACCATTTAAGTCAACAAGCTTCGGGTCTTGACGACTCATTACGTGCTCAATTACCAGATTTTGATTTTTCTTCAAATCTTGATCGTTCTGAACAAGTCATTGTTGGAAAATGGTAAGCTAAAAGTTCTATAGTTGTAGGCTTTCATTCATTATGTTTTGACTTCTAGGCATGAGATCCAGTTTCATAATAAACACATGGAAAAATTGATCTTTTGATTCTTAAGTTTTAACTCGTTTATGAGTTAATCTTATCTTTGGCCAAGAACAACTTTGAAGATCGATCTTCTTAGCTAACGGCAAGTCTCTTTTTCAGCATCTCTCCTCTGCTAAAAAGTTCAGGGATGACTACCAAGTCATAATTAAGGGTTGAGTCGTAGTCAATTTAGAACATAAAAGACTAAAAGATTAATTTTTCCTAAATATATGATGTATTTTGATGAAAATAGGCTCAATGGTGTTCTAAATTCATTTGATGCATCAATTTGTTCTTCTTCCCTTTACAGGTACTGTCCTGCCATGTTGGTGAAACAACATGGAAAGAGATCAAAAAGCACGAGCAATAAATTATCAATATTCTGCGAGATGACACTTGAGCAAAGATGGGAGAAGGTATTTTCCAAGGAAAATGTTGGAAACACTGCTGAAAAGAGAGTAGTTGTGGAAGTTGAGGTCGTTGAAACAGAATCTGCAAAAATTGCAGGAACAAAGGAAGCTTCATGGGGTGACAAAGATGTGAGTGAAACTGGACTCATGTGGTTTACTAGTCATGATGGTAATAACAAGAAGAAGGAAGAGAAAGTAGGATTGAACATGGCTATTATTGAGAGAATGAAATGGGAACAAGAAAGAGTTGGATTTGTTGGTGGGAATCAAAAGATAGAAAGAGGCAAGTTTAGTGATAACTTTTGATTACAAGCACGCCCATCAAATTAGGGGCAAGTGGGACTGAAAAATTTACATTATTATTATTTTCTTCCCTTAGCTTTTTAAAATATATTTATAGAGAAACTTACAAATTATTATTTATGATATGCAGCAGATCAAGAGCATGTGAACACTGAACAATCATTTCCCTCTCAATCAGATTTAACGCCATGCTAAGGGCTATGATGATAAATTTAATAATATTATTATAATTTAAACATATTAATTCGTTTTGATATTTGATTCTTGCTTGAATGTAAATGTGTCAGAAGTCTAACGATGCATTCTAGTCTTTTTTCATCGTTTTCACATATCCTTTCAATTTCAGGAAGGTTTTCATATGTGTTATTGTACTATTATGTACACCAAGACGTGTAATGATAAACACAGAGCTATTCAGATAAGTCTCAAGATAGAATTTTTTTGCAATGATAAACCTATAATAAAAAAAGTTTCCTGAATTTTTTTTTAGCCGAAAAAGACCCCAAAAAAAAAAAAACAAGAAAGAAACAAGCTAAAAGACAGATATATCACGCATTCATTATGAAATAATTTGAATATTTTTATCTTCTTTCTGGAATGTGCTTACGGGTTTGTCTTCACAGATATGCCAACTGTTAGCATTTTAATTTAATTGTCCAAGCATCGACAAGTACTACCCCCAATCCTTAATAGAAGAGCTAATTTCAAATTCAATTGATTCTGAATATAAGATTCCAATCCACTTTGTCTCTTTTTTTTTTCAAGGTAATCCTTGTAGTAGTTGCATATATTAAAAGTTTTATAAAATGATAGTTCTAGCTAATATACATGATTAGCAAGTGTATTTTAGAAATGACAACACTTATTTATTACAAATAACAAAATTAATTTTTCTAATCTATTTAAATTAGTCATCTAGCTTTTATACTAGGGACCGAATGTAGTATTATGTATCATTATCCTAAATATGTATGTTTATATATATATATATATAAGCAAATCAAACAACGTGATCTGCCAAGCAGATTCATAGAGGCATATATATACAGCGAGATAGATTGGAGATTGAGATCAAAATCAATTTATACCATGTATGTAACAAGGCCTCTTTCTCTATTCTTAAAGGACGAGGTTGCTCTGTCTCTTCCACCTCCAGAGCGTGACTCTAATTATCTTGTGATCTCTGATGAAGAATCTGATATTCTTTAATTTTGGGTTGCGAAGAGCTAATTACAGATGAGGCGTCTACCTTTCTTTCACAAGACAAGGACTTCATCATTTATATAATTTTATGCAAGAACTGTTGAGCAATCGTGCTTCAATGCTATTGAGATTTCTGTTTTTGCATTGGGCCTGATGAAATTTGGGAGATTAAGGCCTCAGCACCATAAATTTATGCAGAGCACATTAAACTCAATTAATATATATTAGTAGTGGCTCTTGTGTTTGTGGCAGCTTGAAACTAGCTTTGATGTTCATCACAGTAATGAGCAGCACGGTGGTCATCGCTATGGTGAGATCTACACTATTTAAATATAATTTGAATGGTTTAAATTTAAATTTTTCAACTCATAATTTTTAAATTAAAAAAAAACTCAGTTGAGAGATTATTTTTGTTTGGATTATGCACCGATTAAGAGAAAAAGTTTTTTTAAAAATAAATGCATAAAAAATTAAATCTCAATCATCTATGTTAAATTTGAATGGTCTAAATTTTATGGATACTACAGTACTTATCACTGTGATAAGCATCAAAACTCAAAACTGATTCCGTGGCAGCTCTCAATGGTTAAAAAGGACGGAACTGCTCAAGAAGTTTGCTAAACAAAAGAGAGAAAAGAAACACAAATGAAAAGAAGGAGGGTTTATATTACAATAAGATATTTCTGTTGTTGCTTAGCTGCAATTTATCTCTACTCGGTTGTAACTTTTTATTTAGTCATGTGGTGATGAGACAAGTAAGCCTTACAGGTGTCTGTCCATATATAAGAGATGTACTCTTCATCATTAATGAAATATCCATCCACTATTTCACTTTCTCTTCCTTCATTACAGGGCTAGACTAGTTCATGGCAAATTCCTGAGTCCAACAACGGGCAGTAGTCTCGTACTTGCCTTTGTTGTTCTTGTAAATGTGAGCAATCTCAGGAACCGAAGGGTCATCTGGGTTGGGATGAGCAAGCAATGACCATACTGACTGCAGAATCTACATGTGCATCACAAATCACCACTTCCGATAGGTCAAATCATGGTTTGTTAAGGGAGATATGTAAGGAGACGCATAAGAAGGCATTATACCTTACAAACTGTGGTGGCGGGGCTCCACTCCTCCTGTTTCAGAATGTCCAGAGAGACAATTCCACTACTATCAATGTTTGGGTGATATACTTTTGTTCCAAAGGAAACCTGTCCAAAGCAACCAATTACTAGCTAGTTGCATTGGCTGTTTCGTTAGAACTACAATCAAAATTAAGCATATTGTGAATTACTCCTCCAGTTTTAAATGTAAGACTCATATAGTACAAAATGGGTCCTATATTTATGACCAGAAGAGCAATTAATAATTACCTTGGGTGGCTTGAATGGAAACTTTGGGGGAAGGTGGATGTTCACCAGGAATACACCCCCAGCATAAGGACTGTATGCTGGGCCCATAATTGTAGCTTGCCAATGAAACAAATCTTAACTAATTGTGCCTGCACAACACATTACTTGTTACTACCATTAATTAAAACCCTCCCTTTCCTGGTTAACAAGTAGTCCTATATATGAAGTGAGAAAACATATTACCAAGTATTTCAAAAATATAATTGCATGGATCACAAATATATGTTTTGGTTGTGATTATGGATTACAGTATACGTACAGCTCAACATGGCTGCTAGGGTGTAAGTTACTACCTCCTGGTTCTTAATATAATAACTGATTTGGAGAGATTAAGAAAATTATTGAATTACTTAATTATAGCATATGATTTACACCTAAAAAATATAATCTACGTAATTAACAAAAGTACTTCATACACAACCCATAAGTATTTCTAGTGTCCAAATTAACCAAAAAGAGTATAGGCATCTCCAAACAACAAGCATGTCATAGTTTCAAAATAAATCCTTAATAAAATAAAATGATAAAATCTTAGGGTCATGGCAAATAATATAATATAACACATGCTGGATAAGCACAAAAGAGTCCTCATGATTCACTCTATCGGAGCTTTTTCTTGATTCTTACTAGATCCATCACTTGAAAATGTTAAAAGAAGGGATGGGATCTAATGTCTGAAATTCCTAACATATACAATCACACATATAGTACCCAAAAAAAACTAAGTATATATATGTGTGTGTATATAAAGTACTTAAATTATACCAAAAACTTTCGTCATTAAATCAATAACAGCCATCTCAAAAATTCTTTACAACATGCATTTCACCTCAATAAATGCAATACGTAACCTCTCTTGTATCATCATCCATCCTTATTCCATTGACTAAAGTTATAGGCTAATACATAGTCTAACCAAAACTAATCCATTTAACTGGATTGTCCTAAGCTTAGCAATGCTTGAGATATATACAGTCAAAGGTATAAAACTCAAGCCCAGACTATAGCCCCCCTCTTTAAAGAACAAGATTATAAGGAGATGTTACATGTTTCACAATTCCAATCTAATATTGGCCAAGGAAAAACATGGAAGAAGAGCCTTTGACAAATGCCATCTACTGGGTACCCAGTGATGACATATCACGTGGTAAATAAATAACATATTAAATCCCTTTCTGATCTCAGCCTATAACAGAATGCATATGACATGACAAATAATATTATAACAAAATATATCAAAAAGAAACTATTATTCTAAATCATAAAACAATAGAAATCTAATACAGATCATCAACATTATAATTCATTATAGTTCAATCATTATGACTATCAAAATATTTAAGTATTTCAAATATTATTTCATAGTATAAGACATGATTGGAATAAATAAATATATATTGAAACTCTATTTATTTGAAAAAATGTTTATTATATTTACACATACATATTAAAATAATTAATTTACAGGATATTAAACAATCATCTCAACCACAAACAATTAATATATATATTTATATATGGAAGAGATTTCAAAGTTACCTACTGCTCTTTAACTTACAAGTAATCATACGAAGTTACTCTAAAGTTCTCTATGAGAGTATACAAAATCACACATAACTATCTATTAATATATATATATATATATATATATATATATAACTTAAAACTATTCTAGAGTTACTCTAAAATTCTAAAACTACCCTCCAAAATTAACTCTCACAGATGCACCATTTTATTAAGGTACCAAAAACAATATATATTTATGGATAATTTCCTTTTATGTCTAAGATAGAGTTTAAATTGTGGATAGCTAATATATCTATATATGTATTTATATGAACAAACATGTGGGCTCATTTTTGGCAAAAAAAAAAAAAACATGTGGGCTCATGAGGAAGGGTAGAGCTTCCGAAAAATCAATGATAGTACTGACAACAGTGTATGTATATAGCAGTGTATCACAAGCAATTGGAAAAATAAATTAAAAAAGAAAAATGCTTGAAAGGACGCATAAAGGTTCAGGAAGAGATATAGAAATTTAGTGATACGCACACGGATTATGAATATATTTTCCAATCAAATCATGGCTTGAGGTGTTGGACATGGTGAATGACAAATATAAAAAATAATAAAGATTCGACGTGAGATCTGGGGACGTATAGTAAAAGAATTTCTTCTGTCACAATTAAATAATAATAATGCACACACAATGAATGGGACGAAGGCAGTGAACGTGGGTCTCAAAGATTACAATAAGTACATTGACGGGGGAGAGGTGGAGGTCAGGAAGAAATAGTAATTAAAAAGCAAAAGGAAACAAATATTAAGAGGAAGATGGTTTCGAAACGTACCAGCGCTAATGAAAATAGGAGGACGCTCGCGGAGTTCCCTCAAATCACTAGCGATGCGTTTTGAACACAACACAAGAAGGTCTGTCCCAAGATAACCATCACTAAGTTATTTTTTATAAAAAAATGCTTTATTCAATAGTTGCATGAATCACAGATATATGGTTGCTAGGTTATATGAGAGCAGATGATCTCGAAGTGTACCATGTTCACACATACGATGTTCTTCCAAACCCATCGCCGGTGATGTTGAATTGAAGGATTCTCACTCCTAAAGTTGCAAAACAGCAAAACTACGTATTGTGAATGAATCTGGTTGAGATCAAAATGCTTAAATGACATGACAAACACATTTATCAATTTCAAATGATTAGGGATAAAGGGAGAGTATGACAATTCAGATAGTTAAATCGAGAAACAGGACACCTCTATTGTCACACCTCAAAAAATAAGCTTCATCTTTTCATTTAAACCTTACCCAAGTAAATTATTCAAACCTGACTATCTAATTTAGGATTTTAGTGTAGACCACAATAAAAGTAGTTTCTATTATATTAGTTTTATTGGAATTAATAACTTTCATATTCAGTAGTAATTAACAAGAAAATGTCCACAAAAAGGTATAAGCATGATAAATGGTGTTATTATAGCCCAGTCAAAGTAGAAGTACGATCAACAAAAGGTGGAAATAAATAGCATGAAAAATTGAAAATTAAGCATAAAGCTAAGAAGAGCGTTATACCTCCATCTTTATATCCATTCATATCATTAAAATTTCTCATAAATTGGAGCTTTTTTGAGACGGTTTGAAACTTAGCAATGGGTCTCGAAATGTTTAAAAGCGAAATAGAATCAGAATAACACAACCTGTAAGCACCGAAACTAAACAAAGAGCTAGTGACCAGATCGGCAACGAGACCTAAAAAAATCGATGACAGCACAGAAAAGGACCAATTTGTACCAAAAAGAGAAAAGAAAAGGACTCATGGAATCCATGGCGTAAAACAAGAAAACAATATAATCTCTACCAAAATCTAGTAATGCCACAGCCGCTATAAGCAAAAACAACCCACAGATGAAACTGTACCGAGTGTAGAGAGGAAACTATACTGAGTCTAGGCAGAAGAGAGGAGGATAACCAGAAAGCTCAACAATTAGGTGAAGAGAAAAGGGCAAAGACACCTACTATTTATGGGGTAAGAGTGATCACAATTTAGAAATGTGTAATCTCACCCATTTATTGAAACATAATTTTCTGATTGCCTTTTAATTCGCAATCAAAAATTAATGCCGAATCGATTTCTTTTCAATTCACAATCAATCACTACTACAAAAAATACATTTAACGGCAGTTAAAATAAGCTTTTTACGGTGATTTTGAGACCAACGTCTATGCCATCGACGTAAAATGTAGAGGATTTCACGGCGGTTTAAGAACCACCGTGATATGTGCCTTTTCACGGCGGTTATATATAACCGCCGTGAAAAATTTTTATTCCTTTAAGCTACGTTTCATCCTATTGATCAGGAGGGAACGGGAGAACAAAGCCTCAAAGGAAATCTCTCGCCAGTTAAAAGCATTCTGATGGAGTAAATATAGATTCTTTCCTACCTTCATAGCGTCACTTAGCTTCACCTTCGGCCACCAGATCGAAGCAACTAAGATTTAATAAAGGTAAAATCAAAAACTCAGATCTGATAAAATCAAAAACTCAGATATGCTAAAAATCAAATCTCTTTAAACTCAGATTAAGCATCTTATTTTTAACTAAAGAAAATATTCATATCAAACCACAAAAACTGCAAAATCCACAGAAAGAATGGAGGTGAAAACTCACAAATAAGAATGAAGAGGATGAGGCGATGGTGACGGTAACAGCAACAACGACAGTGATGGAAGAACATGGGGGAAATGATAGAGGCAATGGATAAACGCCGACAAATATAGGAGGAGGGAGAAAATCGAGTGAGGATGTGGTATGGGGGACTATGAGCTCTGACTCTGAAAAGTGAAAACTATCGCGCGATGGATTTTAAAATTCTGATAGACTTTTTACGGCGGTTATTTAAAAAACTGCCGTTAAAAGTATTTTTTTACAGCGGTTTTTTAAATAACCGCCTTTAAAAGTCCGCCTATAATTACAAAAATGCCACCATCATATTTTTTACAACGTTTTTGCTAATAACCGCCGTAAATTAGCGTCGTGAATACTCTTTTTTGTAGTAGTGAATACCTTAATATTTGTTTGATTTCCTAGCCATTCATTCCTTATCCCTTGATTTTCTTTTCAGAGTTAATGTCGATTTATTTCCTTGATTGACTAAGATTTGTTTGATTAGGAAAATTTTCTATTCCCCGATCAAATATTCCGGGCCATCAGGGTGGACTTGGACCCAAAGTCTATTAACATATGTGGATGATAATTTGAAGGGAAGCAGCGAGGAGCTCAAAGAAAGATGATGAGATAACGTAAGGTTGGGGAAGCTGTATTCAAGATGCAACGCGATATGCTTTGGATCCCTTCAATTTTTATCAGCAATTTGAAACTATAAAGAAGCCTCGTGATAGGTTTGAAGCCGAGTGTGTTCCTGCAGATGGAT